TTTCGTCGATATCAGTTATAATTTTGGATTAACCTTTTGTATTGACTATGGGTGATTTTCATGAATGCGCAAATCAATAGGTTTGTTGAGAAATAGTTAAATAAAATAAGTAAAAACATATAGGTGAATGCAGGATAATACGTGGTGATTTAAGAATGCTTGGGACAAAATCAGTGCATTGGGATGGTTCTATGCTTGAATTTGTATTCATTTGATAAAGAAGTTACTAAAGTAAGATAAATTAGTTTGTTTTTAAACATTAAATACACCATAAAATATGCAGTAGTATAACTGGGAGTCACGCAGATGGGCAGTCATTCGTAAGGTTGCACAAAGGGTTCATTTTACTTTTAAATATACTAAAGGAGTTCCAGTAGGCAACTAGTCCTATTATGCAAGGGTAACAGTAATTCGAATACATGAAATGTTAAAAAAAATGCTTGTGTATTTCACGACTAACCTGGGGGTATTCAAAGCCATCTGAGGCTGCACCCATTTCAAGGACGCTCAGTGCCAATTTACGGTTTTCTGGCTTATCGTACTCCACGGGAGGTGTGATGCGTGACATGGCTCCTGTTATAGTCTACATAAAGGCAAGTAAAAATGTGTTGGTAAACGAACACATACCAAATATATATAACACTCTGCTAAAATTCAATAGTACGAAAGCATCCTACTAATAGCCGGAAATCAGCATCAATCAATAAATCGGAAGGGCTTTAGCGGGTATGAAGTCACGTTTTAGATGGACACTAGACATGACCATAAATATAGCATTGTGTGCTAATATGGCTTCCGAAGTAATGCCAACATCAATAGTTTGTTATAAATGGGAGCCATTCTACACGTTATTACAAAATAATATGTAAATTTAAAATTGATTGAAAATAAATGGAAACAAACGTTTAAAAAAGGGGCGAAATCCTGTTGGGTGCGTTACAAACAAGCTCCGATTGACCAACCTGATTGCCAAAGAAGTTCATTAAATAATAGGAAGTGTTCGTGTATTCATCGGTTTGCTTCGACACAATTTTCCTTCCAGCTAACATAAAAGTCTTATTTTAAAATAAACTAATATCAATATGACTTTAAGTCAAGTTTAAAATCTAACCGACCTCGATTTTCCAGCATAGTCGTGGTTTTAGAAAGACTTTTAGAAAGATACATGGTACACCAAAGCTATGCATTCTATCCACATCAAGCTTTCACTTGTTACTTGTTCAGAAGTTTCGCCGACATCCCCATTGAGCTTCACCACTCTTAGCACTATTTGCTGATGAGACCTAGGAGACGTTGAAACTGCAATTCAACCCGGAAATTAAATTATATCTTGAGGCGTACTGATCTCATTTTGGGGAAAATTCATCATCAGTCCTTCGACACCTTAAGCGACCTAAGGTGACCAAAGCTCATAGTAAGGATCTACTTATAGTCTCGAAATCCTGCCCAATTCACATATAATCTATCCTTGTCGCTTCAGAAGCATGATTTGTGTGTGTGGTCACTAAGCCTATGCGATGCTCAAGATGTGTCGCCCGGTCAGGAGGAATATCCAAAAGCGACTTGAGTTATATGCATCGAATGCGATCACCAATGAAGCTTCGGCGGAATATAATGAAAATTAAGGACAGTTATTATTTTAAAAGAAAGCATCAGTCGTCAAGGGACAAAGCCATTGTGAAAAAGCCTTACCCAGGCCCGATTAAGGAGTTATGGCAGCATCCGGTCTAGGATGTTCGAAAACTGGAGCGCTCAATGTCTTCAAAGAAGCAGAGGATAAACTTACATGAGGTATGCAGACAAAGAAGAGTTACAAAAAAGACCATTATTGATCCAGTGATTGCAGGAATGAATGAGTTATCAATGAACTGAGAGAGGTTACCCGGAGACAACAGTTTATCAAGCAAA